GGATTACAGGTGTGAGCCACCGTTACCTGGCCTCACTTCCCTATTTTCTCACTTAGTGTTTTCTAGAACCACCTTTTAAATAAACTACTTGCTCTCAAATCCTTGCTTCAGGGGCTTGGGGGAATCCAAACTGAGGTATATGTAATTATAAATTGTGATGCATGCCGTGGAGAAAGGTACAGTTTACTATTTGGGTGGGGGGACCTGCTCCATTATGGGGTGGGAATGTGGATGTCAAAGGAAGGCGAGGAAGAGATCTATTAGCTGGGATCTAAAGGAGGAGTAGGGTGGAAGGACATGATACAATGAGTGCACGAAAGGCCACTGTGGCTGCCACAGAGGACAGGGACATGGATGGAAGCTTAAGAGGCCAGACTCTGGAGGACCTCGTAGGACATGATAAGGAGTTTGGCATATGTATTCAGAGAACACCGATAAGCCATTAAGGGGACTACAGCAGGACAGCGATAAGATTATACCTGTCTCTAACCATAGTGGAGAAGGACAGGAGAGCCCACATGGCAGGGATAGAGTTCAGAGGCCTCCGCTATGACCCAGGGTCTTGCATGGAGTTTTGCACATGAAGGAGTCTACTCCTTCAACAGATGTTTGCTGAAGTGGAAGGTAACTGTTAACCACGTAGTTGACTGACCAGAACACCCTATTTCCTGGCCAAGTCGAAAAATGATTTCCCTTCATTAATGTTGCCTTTTTTTTTTTTCTGGGCTGCTACACTTAAAACTCTATCAGCCCTTTCTCTTGGGGACAGCATCAACAGGATAACTCCTTTCTACTTTTACTCATTCTCCACTTCCCTCCTTTTCACTCTCTTCTTTCTCTCCTTCTCTTCACCCCTTTGTCTCTCCTCTTTCTTCAAATAGTCCTATTTAATAAAGTTGATTATTCTTACAGTCTCCATTTCTATTAATGGTGGCATGTAATTCTTGTCTCTGGACATCTCAAGACACTGCAGATATAGTCAGTGAAAACTGAATTACACTTTGTAAGCAAGGTAATTTTAAGTGGATCTTTAGTCAAATGCTGTCAAAATGCAAAAAAGAAAAATGTTCCCAAGCACATTCACTCCTTCGGTAATATTGCCACATACACATCCAGCAAGCACTTGAACTTTTTATGAAAAAGAAATTCTATTCCAAAGGTGATTCATACAAAAAATTATGGGTATGTGTGTGTATGTTATTTACAATTTGAAATCATGAGACATTGAACACATTTTCAAGAGATAAAAAAGTGGGGACATACTCAGAGATGACATACATCTGATCACCAATGTGGTTTCACATGTGGTCACTGTTAATAAATTACTACAGAACACACTAGAAACAGAGAATGATGTATCAGCAAAGTTGGATTTATGGTGCTGCAGAAGGTAACAAAGTACGGAGGACCAGGAAGGCTGAAACCTAGCCCATAAATTAATCTCCAAGTGTATGTTCTAAATAGTCACAATTGTACCCTTTTTCCTCTTGTGTTCCTTTTTATAAAAATATTGAAATCCTTGCTCATCCCTTTCTTTCACCCAGCAATTAAAGAAAAACAAACTAGATGTCTGAGATTTCACATAACCTTTCATACCCAATATTTTTATTGTCTTAAATCTTGAGTAGTCAGCAAGAGTTGTGTTTTGCAATACGCTGGGGTAAGGAAGATCTGTTCACCCCATTTTCCATTTTCGCCCCTGGTGTCCTCTTCTGGCATATTCACCCATCACCCCATGCCCCTCACCCTGTGTTCTGGCAGGATTTGAGACATGCAAATTGCAAACTGGTAAATAGCAACTTTGCATATTTTGAATAGAAGAGAACAACGTGGTACTACTCATTCTGTTCTCAGGGAAATCTGAGATAATGGGGAGCAAGATCGAGGGCAGACCGAGGGTCTTAAGTATTTTCTTCAAAGTGTTTATTATGCTTATTAAACCTATTGTACACTGATGAATTAATTTGAATTATTTACATGGTCAACCTTGGAGACAATAACCTGATTTAATCAGAGGATGCAAATGTTATCATTTCTCTTTGAAATCTAAAAGCAGGTTTAAACTGGAAACATCAGGACTTCTTGTATCTTTCCCTACAAATATTGGTTACAAACCTGCAGTTGTCAGGCTAAATGACATAATGTCAGAAATCAAGAGAATGTGGTGATGTATTTCTTAGGAAAGTCAACAAATTCCCCGGTGCAGACATGTCCCCTGGACAGTGGGTGACTAATTTCTCAAGTAAAAAGTCTATTTTGTTTATCTGTCAATATCATGCACTGTCTGACGTAAGGGTGTTCATCTGCTAAAATTTCGGTGTATAGGAAAATGACATGGTAAAAATGGTTGGGATTTTACTAGATTATGAGACTGGTGTCATTTTAAATTAATGTTTGCACTAGTACAACTTACTTCATTTTACTATTGAAGCTGTAAGAACCTAAGGTTGCTGTCAAGTTAAAAGGTTCAAATTTAATTATTTTCAAATCTAGGTTTCCATTGTGACTTGGAAAAAAAATTAGAGATTGCTGTTCAAATCTCTTCTACTTTGGATTTTTTTTCTTAGTGTTTGGATGTTTATAAGAAATTTTTGTGAAAGTTAAAATCTTGTGTGTTTGTAAAATTGGAAGAGGCACAAGTGATTCTGAAGGTGGAGCCTTTCGGAGGTAAAGCAAACAGCTTGCATCTTGAATATTTTATGAGCTCTAGGTATTAGAACCATGTTTCTGATGCAGGAACACAGCGATCTAGGAACAAAAGGGAGATGAGACTAGAGAACAGACTGTGAAATTTCTTAAAATTTTTAAATGATCCTAAGACTGAGCACAGGAGTGGATGATGTTACTGCAGATTGTTCTTAATAAGGGTTTTAAAAGCTTAATGATTTATTGATTGGCTCTGCACTAATGACGTGCCCTTGATTATGCATGTGTAAATAAGAGGGCTGATTTATGAGGGTACAATTGTATCTTTCAGATATATTTGTCCAAGTCTACATCTTTAAAATAAATGGAGGCAATTATCTGAATATTTCAAGGGAGGGAACCCCCCATTCCCATCCCCCAGCCCCGATTTGAGGGAAGTCTAGTATGTTAGGTGAAGAGAAAAAAAAAAAAAAGAAAACAGAGAGCTCTAAAGCCTAAAGGGAGGAACAAAACAAAACTTCCGTTAAGAAATATCCCTGCTTCTCTTTTCCTAAGAGAAGAGAAATAAATTCCCAGGTGCCATCGGGGAGCAATGTTTTACTTAAAAAAAAAAAAGAAAGAAAAAGGAAAAAGAAAAAATTGTAAGAAGTTGTCCTGTTAAATCAACGACACATGGAGTCTAAAGGAAATCAGCCTTTTCGTTACGAATAGGTTTAAAAAGCCCTGGAGAAGAGAGACGTGAACAGAAGCAATATTATCCACTAACCACCTAACTCCCGCTTAGACATCAGCGGAGAGATCAGCAGCATCATTGAACAGGGGGTTTGTCTTAAGATAATGACTCATCTTTATTTCTTTCAGGATATAAAACTTGTATTTAAATCAATTCAGAGAAGCACTTGAGCTTTAAACATGAGAGAGCAGGGAGAGCGTATTTAATAAAACAGCATTATTTCATTTTCAAAGAATGATACTGGCAGTAGCTCTAAGTTTAAATTTTGTATTCTTTTCCTCAATTATAATTATAGATGGGTCTGAAAGGAAGCATGCTTATTACTGTCATATTTATTCTTTTGACAGGTGTTATGGGACTGTAATTTGATGAAATGATTCAAAACGCAGATTCCTATCCAAACACAATTCTTGTCATCAACACGAGAGGTTCAGGAAAAGTCTTCCAGCAAGCCTTTCAGAGATCTTGAACACCCCTACTATTTTAGCACAATCCATATTCAGGAATAAGGAGGAGAGAGTACCTTTAGGGCTTATATCCGGCGTAGCAACAGCCAGAAGGCAGAGTGGGTGTTTGAGGTAACAGGTAACGAAGGCTGTTAGTGGGGGCAGCTTTCCTTTTTAACTGGGTGGGGTCGAATCAAGGAAGAGGCACCCAGTAGGACCCCGAGTCCCGCGCGCGGCCGGCAGAGGGCGCTGGGCTCACCGTCGCCGGGTAGGGGCGGTGCCGCTCAGTCCCCGGGGCGCAGGCGCACTCGTCGCCGCGGCGGCGGGGCTGGCGTTCCCCTGGAGGCTGGTGAGCCGCGCCGCGCAGGCCGAGGCCGAGGGCGGGGGCGCGGGGGCAGCCGCGGCTGGAGCCACTGGGTGGCTGGGGCGGGCTAGGGATGTGGCGGCCTTGGGTGTCCTCGGACCTATAGAAGACCTAGGGGCCACCCGCGCCAGCATTTTTTCCCTCGCGGTCCGCACTCTTCCCCCGGAGAGCTGGGTGCACCGGAGCGCGGCGCCCGGACTTGACACAGGCCTGGCCGGGCGGCCCTGGAGGAGCAGGAAAGGCCTGCGGCGCGATCGAGGGGCGCGGGGTCCGGTTCAGCCCGGGGGTCCAGCCTCTCAGAGGCTCACGTCCTGGCCACTTTTAAAAGGAGAATGTCTCCTCCACCGTCCCTCTGCCCGCGGCACCTGGTGGCCGGAGCGACCTTGACCTGATGATTTATGCTTCTGCGTAAGAGCAAGTTGCTCCGTGGCCGAAACCCTTTCGCTCCTAGGATTGATCCTTTTTGTGGTTATATTGTTTTAAAAACAGTTTTATTGAGATGTAATTTATGAAGCATACAGTTCACCTATCTAAAGTGCACAATTCAGTGTCTTTTTTTTTTTTAGACGGAGTCTGGCTCTGTCGCCCAGGCTGGAGTGCAGTGGCACCATCTGGGCCTCACTGCAAGCTCCGCCTCCTGGGTTCACCGCCATTCTCCTGCCCCAGCCTCCCGAGTAGCTGGGACTACAGGCGCCCGCCACTACGCCTGGCTAATTTTTTGTATTTTTTGTAGAGACGGAGTTCACTGTGTTAGCCAGGATGGTCTTGATCTCCTGACCTCGTGATCCACCCGCCTCGGCCTCCCAAAGTGCTGGGATTACAGGCATGAGCCACGCGCCCGCCAATTCAGTGTCTTTTAGTGTATTTGCAGAGTTGTGCAAGCCGTCACCATAATTTTTTAGAACCATTACCCCCCAAAAGAAACACCTCCTTTAGCTGTCACTCCCCTCCTATCTCCTCCCATTCTCCGCAGCCCTAAGCAACACTAATGTACTTCTGTCTCTGTAGATTTGCCTGTTCTGGATGTTTCGTATAAATGGAATCATAACATTAAGAAGCCGGTTGTGACTGCTTCGTTCACTTAGCATAATGTTTTCTGGGTTCACCTGCCATAGGTTCGTGACTTCAGGACAGTTTCCTACTGGCTTTAGTTTCCTCTGGCAAACTTGGGAATCAGTTTGACATCTGTGGAAACTTCTGTTATGGTTCAGGTACCTATAAACTGTGGAGGAGTGACTAATAACAGTATAAATATATAATATACATATATATATATATAATATATAATATATTTTATATAATATACATATATTATATATAAATATATATAAATATATAATTATATAAATATATATAATATATATAAAAATATATAAATATATAAATATAGTACAAAATATATAATATATATAAAATATATATATATTTTCTTACTCATTTCCCCTCATTTCACAGGTGTTGAACTAATACCGTGTAGTCTCTTGTCCTCCAGAAGCTTACAGTCAGCAAGGAACAGATAGCCAAGTAAAGTAGGAAAGGGTAAGATGTTCAACGCTGGGCACAGTGTCTCATGCCTGTAATCTCAGCACTGTAGGAGGCTGAGGAAGGAGGATCACTTGAGCCTAGAATTTCGAGACCAACCAGGCCAAGACCTCGTTTCTATAAATAATTTAAAAAATTAACCAGACGTTGTGGCGTGTGTCTGTGACCCCAGCTACTTGAGAGGCTGAGGTAGAATCGCTTGAGCCCGGGCAGTTGTGACTGCAGTGATCCCTGATCATGCTACTGTACTCTAGCCTGGGTGACAGAGTGAGACCCTGTCTCAGGCCAAAAAAAAAAAAAAAAAAGATGTTCAAGCACTTAAGATGTGCCAGCCCCTGTGCTAGGCACTTTCCATATGTCAGCTAGGTTCGTCTTTACAGAAGCCCTGTGAGGTGGGTTATTCTTTTCTCCAGTTTACAGTGGGGGAAGCAGAAGTCCAGAGAAGTCAACCAGGTTGACCAGGATTACACAGCTAGTAAATAGCAGAGGTAGGCTTTTAAACTAGGGTTCTTTGTCTCCAAAACCTGCTCTGTAATCACAATAATTACATATGTGTGATTATAATCACAATAAGTGATTACAGAGCAGTGTGATGACTGTAATAGGGGTGTGAATAGCATGGAATGAAAACCTGAAGGAGGTGACAGGGAACTGGACCTCTAAGGATGAAGAGAAATTCTTGAGGCAGGTGAAGAAGTCAAGGTAGGGGAAAGCACAGCATGTTTCAGAGATGATATTAACAACAACGGTTAGTAGTAAACACGTAGCGTGTGCCAGGCATCATGCTTAGTAGTATAGGAGCGTTATTTCATTCTTACAACAGTCCTATGTAGGAAATACTATTTATTAGGGACCCCACTGACAGATGGGGAGCAGACTTCGAGATAGAAGTTAAGAAACTCGTCCAGGGTCCTAGAACTAGCAAATGATGGAACCAGGATTTGAACCCAGACTATCTGATCCCAAAGTCCTCCAAGTTCAGTCTGTGGCTAAAATGCAGGAGGTATGGGAAGGACAGCAGGAGGGGAGATTGATGAGAGGGACTGAAACAGATCTCGGAAGGCCATGGGTAGAGAACTCTCTACAGAGGTTCTGAGGAAGGGGAGTGACGGGGTGTGCTTTTTAGGAAGTGTTCCTGGGTGGCACTGTGTGGACTGGGCTGGAAGGAGGGAGACAGATCAGGAGGTATTTGGATAGTCCCAGCCAGGTATGGGTACAAAGCTGGGAACCAAGGTAGTGCCAACAGGGGCGAAGGAGGCAGGAAGGGGGTGAGGGGACTGGAGAGCCTTGACTGTGTAGGAGAGGGACTGGGGGAGGCAGGGATTGCTGCCCCATTGCTAGCTTGGGAGAACACAGATGTGCAAGATGGAGCCCTGGAGTGGGTGGGGGCGGGAAGCAAAACCACTCCATTCCTATTTTTCAACTTTCCCCGTCAAGAAGAGTAATTGCATATTTAAAAAATGGCCTGTGCAGGCTTAATTTAGCTTGTATCAGTGCTCAATAGGGCATAATTTCTGGTTATTTTCTGCAGTTCCATTCTTTCGTTCTTTTTTTAATATATGACTTTTTCTCATTTATTTTTAGGTGCCTATATCGGGACATAGGTTAGGGAAAAGGACAGTGGGGTTAAATGGGACTGTGGGCCTGCTTCTCAACATCTGTGCCAGTGATACCACTTGACTTCCAGGAAATTCCCTTTGTAGCTTTATTTTCTCTTTTTAAAAATTCTGTCATATTCTCCTCTGGATTTGGTAAGAGCTTTGTTGTTAAGCATTTCTTTAGTTGCTCATTTCCTTTATCTGTGTAATTGATGTCAGCCTGGTGACTCTTTCTTTTGATTTTTTTTCCATCTATATGCAGGGGGAAGCTGCAGATGATGTCCTTGGGTTTCAGAAAGGCATGGAGCAAGGTTTTGTAGAGAAGATTGAGGAGTACTGGATGATAGTGCAGTCAAGTGCCTTTATAAATGCTTGAACCTAGTCGTGCATGAATCCTGCTGGAGTTCTTTGTGGGGTCCTTAGTCCTGATCTGGTCAGTATTTTTATGGGTGGCTCAGACATAGCAGGTGGTTTCACGGAGCAGGTAAGGGCATAGTCTTTGGAATCAAATAGACCTAGATTCTATTCCAGGTCTTGCTCTATACTAGCTTTGTTGCTCCTGGCAAGTTACTTAACCTCTCAGAGCCTCAGTTTCCTCATTTATAAAATGGGACTAATGATACCTACCTTAAAATATTGTTGTGAGGATTAAATGAAGTAAAATGAAAAGCTCTCAAACTTGGCATGTCCTACCCATTCCCTGGATGGGAGCCATCGGCTTTGCACAAGGCTCTGGGTTGGAGAGCTAGGTATACCAGACTGTTCATCTCTGTAGTCCTAGGGCTGGGTCCAGAGTTGTACACGTGCTAGATACTCTGAATGGCATGGCGTAGTTGACTGATGCTTCCAGTATATAGGGTTACTCTCTTTCTCTTTGTCCTTACCCCGTGTTTACCTGGTATGTGACTGTTTCTGTGCTCTTGTTTTGTTGAATTGAGTTGGATAACATTCAGTCATATAACAGACCCCCACCAAGGATGGTGGCAGATTGTGACTCTGGAATGACCTCATAAAATAAAAGATGGGGAAACAGACTTAAGAGCAGCTCAGGAGCTGGGCGCAGTGGCTCGTGCCTGTAATCACAGCATTTTGGGAGGCCAAGGCAGGTGGATCACCTGAGGTCAGGAGTTTGAGACCGGCCTGGCCAACATGGCGAAACTCCGTCTCTACTAAAAATACAAAAATTAGCTGGGCATGGTGGCATGAACATGTAATCCCAGCTCCTGGGGAGGCTGAGGCAGGAGAATTGCTTGAACCTGGGAGGCAGAGGTTGAGCTAAGATCGCACCATTGCACTCCAGCCTGGGGAACAAGAGCAAAACTCCGTCTCAAAAAAAAAAAAAAAAAAAAAAGGAAAAAAAGAGCAGTATATGGAAAATTGCCTTTGAGCCAAATGCCAGGGCCACGTGAGGGCCCCAGCAGAGAATGCAGTCTGAGCTGCATTCCTTGAATTCCCAGGTCAAAGGAGGTGACAGGTCAGAGCATGGCCAAACTGTTGTTTTCTTGTGGGACAGCATGTTTAAGAGTGGTGTCAAAAATAAAGGTACGTGTATTCAGAAGAGGGCACGTGGGACGGAGACACTTTGAGACGCAACAACACCTCCCGGCTGCTTACACTGGAAAAGGGACTAGGGAGGGGCTGCGATAGTTGACTGTGAATCATGAAAAGCTGGACTTGGGAGTAGGTGAGGGAAGATTTTGTCCCAAAGAGTAGAGCTCAGACCAGTGAGTGGAACTTTACAGTGGGGAATTTTAACTCAGAACTGGAGGGACTTTCCAATAGTTTGAACAGAGTGAAAATGGGGGACTTGTGAGTTCCCTGCCACTTGGAGCACATGTAGGGAGAAAAGCTAGGTGGCTCCCTGCCAGGTATGTTTTTAAAGCAATTTTTTATTAGGAAAAATTTCCAAATATATGGAAGTTGAAATAACAGCGCAGTGTTCACCCTTAACACCTACCATCTAAATGCAATCTGAACATTCTGCTGCATTTCTTCATCTTCCTCACTCTTCTCTCTGTGCTGTCTTTTGCTGAACTATTTGAAAGGAGGTTGCAGACCTGATGACACGTCACCTCTAAATCCTTTCGCCGGCATCTCCTGAGAGTAAGGTGATTCTCCTGCGTAACTACATCAGTCTCATGACCCAGGAAAATTTGTAACTCACACTACCGTTTTCACGTCCAGTGAAGATTTTTGTTCAGGAATTCGGCAAATCACTGTGACCACCATGTGGAGAATGGCTGGTGGGGCCCGAGGGCAGGTGGATACCCTTCCAGCAACCCCGGCAAGAGCCTGAACTAGAGGCCTGACCTAGAGTAATGTGGGGTGATGAAGGCTGTTTCAAGGTAACCACTGAGCATGGTGGCCGGGTCGGTGAGGGCTTTCAGGAGGAGAAGCCAGGCCACAGAGCTGAGTGTGGAAGAGGCAGGAGGTGCGCAGGAAGCAGAGAGGGGCACAGTAGGCAGAAGTAGGAGGATTCGTTCAAAATAGAAATTGAATGTCCACCAGGATAGTTAATTTTATGTGTCAACTTGACTGGGCCACAGGAGGCCCAGGTATTTGGTCAAACCTTATTCTGGGTGTTTCAATGTGGGTATCTGTGGATGAGATTAACATTTAAATTGTTCGATGGAGTAAAGCACACAGTCCTCTATAATATGGGTGAGCCTTTTCCAATCCATTGAAGGCCTTAATAAAACGAAAAGTCTAAGCCTTCCCTGAGTAAGAGAATTCTCTTGCCTGTGGCTTTCGAACTGGGACATCAGCTCTTCCGGGTTCTACAGCAGCTTCCAGCCTTTGTATTCGAACTGGCACATTGGCTCTGCAGATTTTGGACTTGCCAATCTCCATAATTGCACAAGCCAGTTCGTTATAATAAACTTCTCTCTCTCTCTCTCTCACACACACACACACACACACACACACACACACACACACACACACCCTCCTATAGGTTCTATTTCTCTGGAGAACCCCAGCGAATACCTCTACTCCACACCAGACATTCTGTCCCAGTGGCGAGACCATAACAGGCAAACACAGCATGGGCTGTTATGGAGTGTGCCATACAGGACTCGGTTTGCCTGGACTAGGCCGTGGATGGTGAGAGGTGCAGATGAGGGGTAGGTAGGGGCCAGATGGAGAGGGGCCTTGCGGACCATGGACAGAAGCCTGGATTTTATTCTGTAGACCAGTGCTTTCCACACTTCAGGACCCTCATGATTTTTGCCGGGTCCACATTTCAATTGCATTATTTGTTTGATACATTAAAAAAAAAAAAAAATCAATTTTATGCCCATTTGAAAAAAATGCTTTAGGCCATTAATACCTATGAAAACGTGTTTTTTCCCCCTCATTACACATGAAAATAAATGTAAAATCATTACAATAAAAAATACTGGCCATATACTACTTAAAATGATTTCAGGTATTTGTTCTACATTTTGGGAAAAGTTGCCATGAATGATGGGGGCAGGGGTGGATATTAGGGGTTTTATGAAGGACAGGACACTTTGAGATTTATGTTTTAGAAAGAGTCACTCTGGCTCCTGGGCAGAGTAGGATGGCAGAAAATGGACTGGAAGACAGGGAGACCAGCTAGGGGCTGTTTCAGTTGTCCCAGACAGAGTCTGACCCAAGGGTATGCAGTGGAGTAGAGAGGAAGGGAAAAATATGAGGGGCATTCAGAGGTGAAATTTGATAGGACTTAGAAACCAGTGGCATGAGGCCCAGCGTGGTGGCTCATGCCTATAATCCTAGCACTTTGGGAGGCTGAGGTGGGCAGATCACCTGAGGTTGGGAGTTCGAGACCAGCCTGACCCAACATAGAGAAACCCCATCTCTACTAAAAATACAAAATTAGCCAGGTGTGGTGGCGTGCGCCTATAATCCCAGCTGCTAAGGAGAATCACTTAAACCCAGGAGTGGGAGGTTGTGGTGAGCTGAGATTGCGTCATTGCACTCTAGCCTGGGCAACAAGAGCGAAACTCCATCTCAAAAAAAAAAAAAAAAAAAGAAAAGAAAAGAAAGAAACCAGTGGCACGGGGATTGAAGAGGAGGAGGAACCTGGGTTGACTGATGATTTTGGTTTGGTTGCCTGGGAAGATGGAGTAGCCATCACAGAGGCAGGGAGCCAGGGTGCAGAGGCCAAGATCAAGTCCAAAGGGCAGGGCAAGGGAGGTAAGTGTTGCCAGGCCCAGAGGCTTAGACTGCAGTTTTAGCAATGATGCTATGAGGTTCATTGCCCCTTAAATAATAGCAAACCCACGCTTTAAATCAAATTAAAACATTTTAGTTTAGCTCTTCTAAGTGGACCCACACATGTATTCTCTACTAGTTATTACTGAGAATGACTAAGTATTATAATTGAGCTGAAAATAATCTGCCGCCCATACTTGCTGGGTTGGTTACTAAGTATTGCTTGAGTTTTTAAGTAATGAAACAAAGTTGTGCTCTTTCCAAATGTTAATTTTGAGGACTGCAGATGGTAACCATCTGTTCCGCGACTAGCATTTTACAATATTTGATTACTACTTTATATAGTTTGGGGAAGCCTGCCAGTGGAGTCTACCCATCAGGTTGGGGACTTTGGTGGTATGTCTCCTGTGGTTGCCCCTCATGGTCTTGGTCACCCTGGAACGGGTTCCCCTCTGATTTCTGGGTGGTGAGTCAGACTGGCACGGTCATGATTGATAGCAGGAGGAACTTGAGAAGCCCTGTCTTGTCTGACTCTTCCTTACAGCCTGGAATCATCAGAGGGCATCATGGAAGAATTTGTGAGGTCAGGGTCTGTCCATCAGTTACAAGTTTTGGGTTACAAGGGACAAAACAATGAACCTCAGCTGCTTTGGTGAAAGGGGATTAATTGGCTCAGATCACTGAGAAGTCTAGGGGAAGGACTTCCTTCAGGTAGATGGTTTTAGGGCCAAAATGAATTCTTTTTTTTTTTTTTTTGAGTCAGAGTCTCACTTTGTATCATCCAGGCTGAGTGCCATGGTATGATCACAGCTCACTGCAGCCTTGACTGCCGAAGCTCAAGGGATCCTCCCATCACAGCCTCTTGAGTAGCTGGGACTACAGGCGTGTGCCACCATGCCCAGTTAGTTTTTTATTTTTTGTAGAGACAGGGTCTGCCTATGTTACTCAGGTTGATCTCAAACTCCTGGCTTCAAGCAGTCCACCCATCTCAGCCTCCCAAAGTGCCGGGATTACAGGCGTGAGCCACCACCCCTGGCCCAAATAAATTCTTTGGGCTTGTTTTTATCTCAGGGTCTCAGTTCTGCATTCTGCTATGTGAGTGTGGTCTCAGGCTTCTCGAGGAGGCAGGATGGCTTCACTGAGAGAGGATCAAATCCTGCCAGCATCAAGTTTAGTGGGAAGGAGCTAGAGTCCTTTCACGCCACTTCTGCAAAAGTGTTGCGATGCACTGTGATTGGACTAGCTTTTGTCACATGCCCGTATGTGAGCCAGTCCTTATACCCACGTGGATGCAGGGCTCTGATAGTCCCACTCAGACCTTCTGGGCTGAGGCCTGGGGAGGGGTGCACCCCAGATCACACACTGGGGCTACTAGAAGGGAGACTGGATGGTGGGGGTCAGACAACCACCTGTCTACTCCAGCATCAGAGCAAGAGCCCAGGGAACCAGGAGGAATTGGCTAACGTAGCTGAAGAGACACATTTATTGTTGCCGAGGAGATAATGGGATGTAAATGGAATGAAGGAGCCTCCGGAACCAGCTACTTCCTAAGCTTCCCTCCTTAGTTTAAGGGCATCTGATGGATTTAGTTTCTGGTTCTTTTTGCGAGGTGCGGGGAGGGTTTTTTTTTTGTTTTTTTTTTTCTTATATGTTTCTTTAAAACTAAGGCCAGTCACTAGATCTCTTTTAGCTCCTTCATCTGGAACATAGAGGGTGTCTCTCTGTACAGAGGAGACAGTAGCTTCATTCTGTTTAGTTAACAGTGAGTGAAGCCCGCTGTGGGCCAGGCGCTCAGCCCAGGGAGAGCCACAGGCAAGGTAGCAGATGAGTCCCTGGCAGCACCATGAGGGGGCACTGCAGCCCCACAGAGGACAGGGTGAGTGCCTCTGTCTCCAGAGAGGGACCGTGGGTAAGGGCTTCCAGGAGGAAGGACACTGAGCTGAGCCTGGAAGGATGAACAAGGTTCCTCACATGGAGAAGATGGGAAGGGGTCCATGGCCAGGGAACTGCATGTGCACCAAAAGGCACCACATTTGGTGGTTTGAGGGGTCTGGGAACAGTTCATGAGACTGACTGGGATGTGCCCAGGACACTGATTCCAGAGCTCACATGGTACGGGGTGGAGGAGACTGGAGTGACAGGCCAGGTACTGGGACACCAGGCAGATGCTGTGGCAGAAGTTCAGGCAGGAGCCTGATAAACGCTTTGCAAGCCCATATATTCTAGAACCTACCATTTAAAACAATCTATACTCTCATAGTTCCCTTAAAAAAGAAGAGGTTAGGCTAGAGTTGTGGGTTTTTTAGAGAGAGAGTGTTAATACAGAGAAGAATATGGGTTCTGCAGACACAAAAGAGAGCTTGCTGTGTAATTCCATTTATACAAAACTCTGGAAAATGCATCGGTTGCCTGGGGATGGGGACGTAGGGAGGGCGGGAGGGATGGATTACAAAGGGTATGAGGTAAATTTTGGGAATGATGGACATGTTCATTCTCTTGATTATGGCGGTGATTTCTCTGGTGTGTACCTGTGGCAGCACTTATCAAATTACATACTTTAAGTATATGAAGTTGGTTATATGTCTACTATACCTTTTTTTTTTTTTTTTTTTTTTTAAAAAAAGAAGGCTCTGAAACCAGACTGCCAGAGTTCAAATCCAAGCTCCAGCTTTATCAGCTGTGTGATCTTGGGCAAGTTATCAGACCTCTCTGTGACTGTGTTCATTAATCACATGTGAAGTGAATAGAGACAAACAAGTGCTCATTGTGATTCTCTTTTTTTTTTTTTTGAGATGGAGTCTTGCTTTGTCACCCAGGCTGGAGTGCAGTGGTACTATCTCGGCTCACTGCCTTTTACACTTCTGGGGTTTAAGTGATCCTCCTGCCTCAGCCTCCCAAGTAGCTGGGATTACAGGCATGTACCACTAAGCCTGGCTGATTTTTGTATTTTTAGTGGAGACGGGGTTTCACCATGTTGGCCAGGCTGGTCTCGAACTCCTGACCTTAAGTAATCTGCCCAACTTACAGGTGTGAGCCACCACACCCAGCCCATTGTGATTTTTATGATAACTCATAGCAAAATGAAATCATGTGCCCACGCTGTGGTGACTCTGTCCAGCGTCTTCTCTGTGCAGAGTCCCCTAGATTCATGTTTCTCAGACTTTAAAATGTGCATACAAATCTCCTGGCATCCTTGTTAAAATGCAGGTTTGATCTGGTGGGTGTGAGGTGGGGCCTGAGACTGCATTTCTGTTGATCTCCCGGTGCTGTGGGTTTTGCTGGCTCAGGAGCACACTTTGAGTTTTGAGGCTCAGGCCTGTAGGCATTCTCCCCTCTGTGGCTTGGTGCCCTCACCAGACCAGGACTGATGTCGGAGCTGGTTTCCTAGTGATTTTCCTAGTGATTGCCCCTCAGGGTCTTCCTGCTTATCTACCCTACCCTGCCTGTGAGGGACACCTACTCACGCACCATCTGAAGTTGAGTTCCAGAAAGAAGACGCCAGGGCTGAGGCTGTACATCTCCCTCCACACTCACCCTTGGTCTTGCGGGCCTGCTGTGGGCTAGAGCTTCTGTAGGACTGAATGCCCAGCCCACCGCAAGGTGCAAGCTCTATGGGATGGGACAGCCACTGTACTGCACCAAGGCTGCTTCCCAGAGTACTGGGACCTGGGGGTCAGGGCTGAGTATAGAACTTGGCTTGATGCCCTAGAAGTGATGCTCCTTGTTTTCCAGGGACAGAAGGTCTCACGGATGGCCCCGCTGCCAGGGGCAGAACTGGTTCAGAGGCCACTGCAGCTCTACCGATACTTGCTGCGCTGTTGCCGGCAGCTGCCGACCAAGGGCATCCAGCAGCATTACAAGCATGCTGTCAGGCAGGTGGGAGCTGGGTCCACCAGGTCTGGGGGCTGCCTCTAATGGCAGGCTTGGGGGTGTGGGTCAGAGGTCAAGGCCAGGGCACAGAGCTAGTCTCTGAGATGGTGGTGAGGTGGCAGTGTGGTAAGAGCCACAGGAAACCAGTGCTGGGCAGCCCAGCTCCTCTCTGTCGAGGAAACACAGGGTGCATCAGCCAGCATACCAGCTGTGCTAGGGCACATATGAGGCAGCTAAGTGGGTAATTAAAATAGACTGTGGGGCATGACATCATTTAGGCAGGCATCCCTGCCAACAGTGTACAACTTGCATTTAATCCTGAGAAAACATCAGGTAAACCCAAATTGAGAGGTCATCTACCACACAACTAATAGGCCTGTGCTCATCAAAAATGTCAGTGTCGTGAAACACAAAGAAAGGCAGAACTGTTCTGGATTAGAGAACTCAAGAGATATGGTGACTAAATGTAATGTATGATCCTAGACCAGAAAAAAATTGCTGTAAAGAATATTACTGGGAGCCAGGCATGATGGCTTATGCCTGTAATCCCTGCATTTTGGGAGGCTAAGGCAGGCAGATTGTTGGAGCTCAGGAGTTCAAGACCAACCTGGTCTTTTCTACAGAAAAATCAAACAATGAGTTGGGAGGATTGCTTGAACCCAGGAGGTCGAGGCTGCAATGAGCTGTGATTGTGCCACTGCATTCTCACCTGGGTGACAGAGTGAGAACCTGCCTAAAAACAAAACAAAACAAAACAAAACACTGTTACTGGTGCAGTGTATGAAATTGGAATGTGGGCTATAGATTATAGCGTTGTTTCAATGTTGAGTCTTCTGCATTTGATTATTGTGGTTATGTCAGAGAATGCCCTCGTCATTAGGAAATACACATGGGAATGTTTAGGGGTAAGGACGGGGTGTCTGTAACTTATTCTTAAATGCTTCTGAAAAGACTTACACATACTTACATAAAGAGAATGATAAAGCAAGTGTAGCAAAATGTTAACAATCAGTGATTCTGATAGGAAATTATTTGTATTATTATCATAGCTTTCTGTAAGTGAGAAATCATTTCCAAATAGAAAGTTAGCTAAAATTCATACAAATATAATATGGAAAGTAAAAAAAAAAAAAAGAGGTGGCAGTAGCCACAGAGGGCTGTGGAGACGTGGAGAAGGGAGCAGTTAGCTGTCTGGGGAGTCAAGGAGGGCGTCCCAGAGGTGGATGCTGAGGGGGCTCCTAAAGATGAGCAGGGGGATGTGTGGGGCTGGGAGTGACGGGGAGGGAAAGAGGCCAGTTCTGTTTCTTTTTGAGATGGAGTTTCACTCTGCACACAGGCTGGAGTGCAACGGTGCAATCTCGGCTCACCACAACCGCCGCCTCCTGGTTCAAGGGATTCTCCTCCCTTAGCCTCCTGAGTAGCTGGGATTATAGGCATGCGCCATCACACCCAGCTAACTTTGTATTTTTAGTAGAGATGGGATTTATCTATGTTGTCAGGCTGGTCTCGGGCTCCAGACCTGAGGTGATCTGCCCACCTTGGCCTCCCAAAGTGCTGTGATTACAAGCGTGAGCCACCACGTGTGGCGCCAGTTCTTTTTGGAAAGCAAAACCTGAATCTTAGATTGCTTCTCAAGGGTGAACATCTGGTCAAAAGCAAACAGCATCCCATGCTCTGCATTGGGCCTGGGTGGATTTCCTGAAACTACTCTGTCTACTGCCTCCCCTTCCTTCCCTGTGTGGCTTTCCTAGCACTGGGCTGAGAGAAGCCCTACTTCTTCCTCCCTGCTCTGAAACCTATGCAGAGATCTCACCCTGGGGAAAACAGCTTCTTCTGAGGAAGAGAGATGGAAGTTTCCCCTTGGCCTCCACTGCCTGATAGCTTTTGGGCTTAGCTTGATTTAGGGGTAACTTGGGGGCCAGTCTTTGCACCCACCCTGGTGGCTTTGCAGTCACATAGACTAAGATTCAAATGCTATTGTTCAGCAGCCAAGGGGGGATTTCTGAGCCTCTGTTTCCTCATCTCTGTGTGGGATAATCATAACTGTCTATGGGGGATGAAGAGAGCTGCTGGGTATACAGTGCCCAGCAGTGTCCCTGGCCTGTGACTGGTGCTCTGAAGCTGTCGGTCCTGGGAATTTTGCCTAGTCATCTTTCCTTATGCTTAAACTTGCAGAGTTTTCGGGTTCATTCAGATGAAGACAACCCTGAGAGAATCCAGCAGATTATTAAAAGGGCCATTGAAGATGCTGACTGGATCATGAACAAAGTAGGTGCTTGGCCCCCGGGCTCTGCCTGCGAGCTGGGGTGATGATGGCTGTGATCCCCATGACCACTAGAGGCCACTCCTGCCCCACAGTTGAGAATGGTCCCTGTGGAGGAGGCCACCAGCCAGCTGCTTCCCTCCTCCGGAAGCTGAAAGGTGAAGGCAGATCCCTTCTGGTTGCACGTGGGGAGGGGCTCTTACTCTTCGTCCTTAAAGGCAAATTTCTGCCCAACAGTGCTGATGGAGTTGAGAGGGTCAGTAGGAAGAAGGAGGGGAAGCTATAGTGCCAGAGCCGGAAGTGGCGCTGTGACGCCGCAGACAGGAAAGCTGTCCTGGGGAGGGACTCCCTGTCTGGGGGGCGTATTCACACTGGGGCAGAATTATGGAGGAAACATTCAGTATGTTTTGGTGGAGGAAGGGAGGGAGTCAGGAATGTTGACTGGCTTCTTGGCCCTTAGATGCTGGTATTAGGAGGACCTAGAGAGTTGGAGTGTGCCTCTACCTCCCTGTCCTTCTAACTCACTCTCCAGATATGGGACCCAGCGTCCATTTTAAAAAACCCAGTGATTATAGCAACTGGCTTCCAAGGGTCCTCCTCTACCTGGGATTTTTTTTTTCCCCCTGAAACAAGACTCAGAGAGGACAGGCACCCCAGTTTCCTTATTATCCTCCCTCCCCACCCTGTCAGCTTCCTTTTTCATTAAAGAAGAAAGGGAGTCCAGGCATGAACTAGACATTTGGCTGCCCAGGGCCTCTTGCCTGGGTTTCACCACCTCCAAGAAGCCCCTGCAGGAGGCAGGTGAGGTCCAGATGATGGAGGCTTGAGATTTCCCCAGAGTCCTCCTGCCCCTGTTGGCTTCCCTCCTCCACTTCAAATCTCTCTGTCTTGCAGTATAAAAAACAAAACTGAGAGCCCGGAGAGTGAGCCTTCCTGGCCTCTGGAAGTTGAGAGGCGCCTCTTCTGGAGCTCAACAGCAGCAGCAGGTTTGGAAGATCCATTGGCCTTGTTGGCTGAAAGCTAGAAATCAGAGGAGAAGCTGACCTTGCTTCGGAGGCTCCTCTTGCCGCGGCCATGTTGCCAGCATCCTTTATGTTTGTACTTCCAGCCACTTACGATGTGAAATTTGGGGAGAATGTGGTATTTTTTTGTTTCTTTTGTGTATTTTTTATTTTTGTGTTTTTGTTCTTTTACTTTTCTCTGAAAGTGATTCATTTATTCTGGAGATCTCTTTATCATTCTCTGAGTCCCAGAGCAGATGTCCCCTCAGGTAGCAACCTGTACAGAAGAAAGCGCGTGGGTTTTAGAAGCAGACAGATCTGGATTTGAATCCCAGATTCAGTAAGATGAAGGTGAAGTGCCTCACACAGGATGTGGCACATGACAGTGCCTGAAGGGCTCCCTCCAAGGAAGCCATCCTGCCCCACCCTCTCCTCTTTTCCTGCAGCGCCCTGCACAGCTCTGCTCCAGTACACACCGCGTCGGGTCTCAGTTATTTGTTTGCGAGGTTGCCCTGTCCCTGCTTGTAGCCCCTGAGCCCTCACAGTTGTCACACACCCAGCAGTCTGCCAAAGAGCTGCTTTTCCTGACCACTGTCTCTCTATGCCCAGGGAAGTCAAAGCCCTGGGCTTTGCCTTCAGGGAGTTGACAGTGTCCGTGAAGTGGTGAAGTGCCCACCACATGAACCAAGGAGAGACACCAAAGCAGCTGCGGTGGACTCTGGCCTGTCCAAGCCTCTGCGCACCTGCAATCTGTTTCCACTGGCCCTTCCCTGCTTTGCCACCATTGTGGAAGAATAGAAGGGAGGGGGAGAAGGTGGGTGGGCTCAGGGAGAATGACCAGAGTGGCCAGAAGATGCAGAGATAAGTCCCACTGGGATTTGAGTATTCCCTGAGGGCACTCAGTCACAGGGATGAAGTAGTGTGTGTTTGTATCCTTGTAATTATGTGAGTTAAAATGACTCAGAGATATTTATGTGTGCGTGTGTACTCCGCTGACAATGAAGTAAATATATCAATTTGTGGAAGCTCGTGTGTCTTCTCAACTGATAAACCTTACATTCCCTAAGCATACGTTGTCCCCCTCCTGAGTGTCATCCACTCTTGAGAACCTACAGTCAAGTCAGACAAAGCTGCCCAGGAGGGGTCATTCTTCAGAGAAGGTGACTGGGACTGGCCCCACTGCTAGACAACAGTTGATGAGGTCACATCTGCCCCACTAGGGTATGAGCAAGCTGAGGGGTTTCACGCTAGGGCCAAAGCTGAGCCAGGCCCCTGTCCGCACCCCGTCATTGAGCTGGGGGCCCCTTCTCAGGTGGCAGGGCTGTATTGTAATCATAGGAGTGGGGGCAGCTGTATCCCAGATGTTTTCCCAGCAGGAGAGAAATGAGTGAAGGCTGACAAAGGTTTGGGATAGAGTTAGTGTCACTTGCTCTTGACCAACTCCTGGAGTGGTTCTGTGACCTGTGGTTCCTGGGTAGGTCCTTGGTCCAGCTGTGTTGACTCGCCATGTGTCAGACGGTGGGTGCCCAGCTCCAGCATGCGGCTGGCCTGTGAGGGAGCCAGCAAGGGGTGGGGTGGGTGCACGGTGTGTTGATTGCTCTCCCCCAGCCCCTGTGCTGCCACTGAGGGTAGTGAGCCCGGTCGTGCAGGGGCCCACGGTAGGGGAGGCAGGATGCATGTGGCACTGTGCACACAGGGGCGCTGTTGAAGCCTGGGAGAGCCTCCCATCCTCAGCAGCAGCCTTGCCTTCCAGCCTGCCCTCTGACTTTCACTACTCCCAGCTCTGTGTGGACCGTGGGGATGGGTCCTTCATTTCTCCTCTCAATTCTCAAATGCCCAGAGTTGAAGGTTTCCAGAGTAGCCTCCAAGCAAATGGAAGAAGGAGATGAAGGTTTGACCCAGAGTCAGCCAGTGTGGCCTGCTGGAAGGGGCTCTGGAGATACACACACCTGAATTTGAATCCCAGTCTGTCACTTAGTGGTGGTGTGATTTGGGGCAGATTTGTTAACCTGTCAGGCTCACTTTTTTCACTGCTACAGGTTGCACATCCCACGGAGTGGTGAGATTATGGCAGTGCACACAGATGGGCTGTAAGCCATGTGGCTTCCATCTCTTGTCTTTGGTTTACCTGGTGACGATACTTCTCTCCTTTTCTTTTCTTTTCTTTTTTTTTGAGATGGGGTTTTACACTGTTGCCCAGGCTAGAGTGCAGTGGCACAATCTCAGCTCACTGCAACCTCTGCCTCCCGGGTTCAAGTGATTCTCCTGCCTCAGCCTCCTGAGAAGCTGGGATTATAGACGCCCGCCACCACACCCAGCTAATTTTTGTATTTTTAGTAGAGTTGGGGTTTCACCATGCTGGCCAGGCTGGACTTGAACTCCTGACCTCAAGTGATCTGCCTGCCTCGGCCTCCCAAAGTGCTGGGATTACAGGTGTGAACCACCGTGCCCAGCCTACGCTTCTCTTTAAGTGGGTCCTTACGGCTCTCCCTGGTGTCCACTGCACAAGCAAAGTGTCAGCAGGAAAGCATCTGACACATGTTGTCCACACTTAGATACTCCTTTGGATTCACATTGCCTTTCTGGGGTGCATTTGCATTATAAAGTTTCTGGGTTTATCTGTATAGCGAAAGACAGATGTTAAAACCCACAAGGGCCTCCTTTGCAAGACCCTGCATATCTGAGGCTGACTCCTGCGGCAGTGCTAGCCTTGAGTCCTACACGAGCACATGATGCCTGGGGCAGAGCCTGTCCTGCACTGTGCAGTTCCATTTCTCGCCCGTGTGCCCACCCCGTCTTCACTGAACATTCACTGCACAGTCTTCCCTCCACGCAGGAAGGGACTCACAGTCTAAGGGAAAGACAGGCGTGGGTTGCCTGGAGGTTGCGCGATTGTGGCTCATAGCATGTGATCATAACATAGATGTATCTTTTTCTCTCACAATTCCTTTGTATATTTTTTCTGGAGGTTCCTGTTCTCCCTGTCCCTGGATGAAAACTGAGACAAAGTCTCAAACATTCTTGGCTGGACTCAAATTTTAAAAACCCAAAGCTATGGCTACTTTTAAGTCACAAAACAGTTTCAATGCATGAAGTGAAATGTCCAGTCTCAGGAAAATAACATTTCAAAACTTGAATTAAGATTCAGGCATCTCCCTTTCTCCCAGTTGGGATCTGCTGCAGAGAGACCTCTGTCAGAGAAGGGGACAGAAGCATCTTTGCTAGCTTGCGAGGGGGGCATTTCAGGCCAAGGAGTAGTTTAAGCAAAGGACAGAAGTAGCACCACTTGTTCAGGGACTCGCATGCTGCTTGGTGTGGTTAAGACATCGTGGTGAGTGGAGAAAACAGGGGTGGAAGTAGAGGGTGTGAGGCTGGAATACACCACGGGAACCAAATCGTGCAGAGCCTTGCAGGCCTTGCTAAGGAGTTTGGACCTTCTCCAAAGGGGCGATTTTGTAATCAACCCTTTATGTAGTTGTCTCCCCCACCAAACAGTGAAACCCTTGAAGCAGGAACCAGGTATTGGTCATTACAGAACCCTCCAGGCCAGTTGTGTGTCTGCTGCCCAGGCTGTGAGCTCTTAAATGTTGGCTTAATGGAAAGAATGATGATCGCAGGCAAACTGTGATGTCTGTCTTTCGTTCGTTTGTTTCTCACTGCTTTCTAGTAATGAGAAAGGCTGGGAGATGGTGAGTATTTCTTGGCTAAGTCTTCTTAGCACCGATGGATGTGAGCTGCTTTGGAGGAGAGAACACTGCCCTCACTGCACAACCGTCAGGCACTTCCTCCAGGAAGTTTGCCTTGGTGCAGAGAGAGGATTTCCCCCAAAGTAAAGGTTACCAAGTGCTGAAACCCAGCCTTCCTCCCATCCTCTTGAAATGAACCTGTCCATTTTGCCTCCCTAGTGGGTGGAGATTAACTTGAGCATCCAAAACAAACAAAACAGACACCCTTTGTGCGATGATGGAGAACCATGGCTGTGACCAGTTTGACCTGAGGGAGTAAACTCGTTAACTTGGGGTGGGTGACTGTAGTTTGAGGTGATGAGAGGCTTTAGAACAGTGCCTTACGGGATTAAGAGCACCTTGTGGAGCATATAGGCACAAGGTCACCCCAGAAAGGCACATGGTTTCAACAAGGAATCAAAGAAGCAGGGTGCAGGGTTGGAGCCAGTTAAAGCAATCTGCTAATGAACTGCTCAGAGGCTGCAAGATTGCTTTTGAGCCTCTCCGAAGAAATGACAAAATGTTTCTCAGTGGAACAGCTTCAAATCTTTCCTTTAAAGATCTGGTGAGCAAAGGAGGAGGAACACTTACTAGCGTCTACCACATCCCTGGACTGAGCAGACGATGAGGACACGAAGGAAGAATCGGTCCATAGACAGTGAGCTCCACAGGAAGGACTTGGTTTAGTTCACCACTCTCATCCTGCCAGCACCCAGCACAGTGTCTGGCACATAGTATGAGCTTCCCAAGCATTTGTTGAATGAATACGTCACAGTGCTTGCCTCTGGAACTTACCGTCCAGTGGTAGACAGACCTTTAATCCTGTACACACTATGCAGTGTGAGAAGTGCTAGGGCTCTGTATGGGTTGCAGTCGGGCCCCAAAGGAAGAGCATGCCCATTTCCTCTGCAGTGTGCCGCATATTCATTTACCCATTCATTCTTTAATTCAACAGACATTGAACACCTCCTATTTATGGAGAATCCCATCTATATCTCCATCTGGACTGGGTTATGAATGGTTTAATTTGCTCTTTTATTGATCTGTATGGCTTCTGGAAATGGGTGGCCCCATCAGTTTTAGGTGGCTATGATTACACACAGTAATCCAGAAGCTTCTTTCATGTGTCAATTTTTAAAGTATTATTTTTCTAAAAGTTTGTTTCCTATTTATAGACGTTAGTTCACACACACACACACAGAGATACACCACTACCTATAACTTTTGTTGCTAACAAGTCTGGCTGAGAAATAGTGAATTCATTGACATGTTTTTCTGATACTGTCATCTTTCTATTCACATGACTAATCTTTAAAACTCTTGAGTGAGAGAAGGTAAGAGGAATTGTCCAAGAGGACAACTTGCCAATCCAGCCTTAGCCTGGAGGTAAACAAACATCCTCATCCTTGTCTTCATCTTTGCTGCAGTGTGGATTTCATGCTGTCTCTGGCGCAAGCTCCTATTTTTTTCCCTTGCATACTTAGCTGGGTCAGAAAACAACCTGGGTCAGAACCCTGGCTTAAAAGTGAACAGAGGGAGAGCACAGGGAATATGGAAAAAACCCCAGGCCTTCATAGCCAAACAAAAGCTTCTCCAAATGTAGGGAGCCATTCTCATCCACTCATGTTAACTCAAGCATTAATCAAGCACTATCCACCTTCCCAGCTTAACACTCCCATTAAAAGGGCAAACATGCTATGGAAATCAAATACCAAAATAGGCAAAGGATCTGAACCGGCATTTCACCAAAGAGGATATACAAGTGGCCAATATGCACACAAGAGATGCTTCTCAGCCATCAGGGAAATGCAAATCAAAACCACAATGAGTTACCACTTCACACCCAGTAGAATGGCTATAATAAAAAAGAGATAATAACAAGTGTTGGTGAGGATGTGGAGAAACTGGACCCCTCATCCAGTGATGAGGGAATGTAAAGTGGTGTGGCCACTTTGGAAACAGTTTGGCAGTTCCTTAAAATGTTAAACACAGAGTTACTGTTTAACCTAGCAAGTCTGTTCCTACGTATATAACCAAGGAAAATGAAAACACGTTCACACAAAAATCTTGTACAGAAAAGTTTATAGACTTATTCATAAAAACCAAAAAAGACAACAGTACAAATGTCCTTCAACTAAAGAATGGATAAATAAAATGTAGTATAGCCACACAATGGTATATTATCCCGGCCCGCGGGATCGTCGAAGCAGGCCCTGGAGGAGGGACTGGGAATTTGGGGGACAAGAGACACGAGAAATGGAGACAAGACAGTGCTCTGATCAAGTCGCGTTTAATGGTGG